TAAAGAAATCTAAGCGGATTAATTCACATTTGGTGATCTAGTGCAGTGATCCCAAACATCGCCTATAATAACACAAGTTGAACAGGTATTTGAGATGTAAGCAGTTCGATTACAGTGATGTTACAAATTGGTAAATTACTTAAATTGGTGAAACGCTCCATTTCACAAAAAAACAGACAAAGATGGAGCCAGAAAATAATTGTGTGTCAGTAATGAGCTTCTTTTTTTGTTTTCTAACAACAGTCATCTCAGGACCCCTGAGATTTATCTTGCAATCCACTGAGAGGCCCTGACCCCTAGGATCTGGACCGTGTACTGTATGTTGGATTCGCTTAAAATAAACTGAAGGCCTGTGTTCATCATAATAAAGAAAAAGTGCAGTAGTGTGGCTCCTTGAAGTGTTCTTGAACAACAATGGAGGTACTGCACAAGATATCTGGTTGGATGTTTCCACTAAGCTCAATCCAGCATGTTGAAAATGATCTACAAAATGCTAAAAATAGGTCCTTTAAAAATACCCAAGAATTTAAACAAAGTGAACCCCATATGGGAATAGGAGAGAAACAATATAGGCTGTAATTTGGGGTTCAGTGGTCTGAGTGAACTGAGCTCTCTGTGTATGTCAGCAGCAGGGAGTCGACCACTCGAGAGGCCCCAGTTCACAGCGGCGGCTGCGTGCCAGGATGTGGTGCAGGGCCGGCTGAAAGTTGGAGACTTGGTGCTAGGTGACGGCTTAGAGAAAATCCCTCTCCTGAATAGACGGCCTGGATTACACGCAGGGCAGGTCAGCACCAGACAGACAGAGACAGGCTGAAGAGATCATCATCAGCGCAGTTCGTCCATCTTTGTGAGGTAATAAGATATTTGAAACACAATGCTGCGTTCAGATTTGGATTTACAGTCCACCTCACCCTGTAATTATCTCGAATCATACTTTCAAAGAGATGCAGAGCTCTGACTTTCACCTCTCTTAATCACAGAAGATCAACGCCTCAAAGAGGAACTTTGTGAATTCTCTTTGCATTGATGCACACACAGCTAAAATCAGTTTACATGAATTATTCATGCAGAAGGAACATGCCCAGGAGGCCCAGAGAATGTTCACTATACATTCAGCATCGCCCCCATTGTCACCTTCCTGGACAGAAGTTTAGCCTCAGATCACTGATGTAATAAACAACCAATTAGGAGAGGCCTTGTGTGTCCTTTAGCACTACAGTATGTCTAGAACACTGCATTGCACCTTAAAATATGGTATACAAAATGTAAATTGTCCTTCTCTCTTCCTCTTTTTTTTATTTCTGTGCAATCATCTCTTAAGAACATCACGTGTATTCCACAGATATGCATGTAAATACAGTCAATTGTATACTGGGCTCTCATCTTTGGGGTGTTTTGGAATAAGAAAATAACTAGCCTTATCTTGATTGGTACAGCTCTATGAAAATTCCTTAACATATTATCACTGGTATGATGGCTTTGAGCTTGCGCAGTAATCTGATAAAGCTGTGTGCAATATTTCCAGTAACAGTATAACATGTAAATACTAGACAAAACAGCCTCCTTGTCACAGCCAGCTGCGGTTTCGATTCTCAGTGAATATACAGTTTGTTGCAGAGACACAAATACTTTCGTGAGTGTTTGGCATGTTTAGCTCTCTCATGTTGGTGGCAAATTGCAATTGACAGAGACTTGTAAAGCCCAAGTGATACATTTCACAGTGATGCAAGGCAGTGGGATGAAAACACTGTAAATGAGACCACTGGCATTGACCTTACCCATTTCCCTTGCTCTGTAATTTATCTGTGTGAGAGGTGTGTAACCCCACAGTCCAGACACTGTGGCACTGAGTGGACGCTCATGTAAGCAGGCTGTCTGATTTATGACAGCTATATGTGCTGTTTGTGTGTGAGAAACAGAGAGAGGAACTGTGTTTGTGTGCGTGAACACTTTTGTGTTCAATGGCGAACAATTATATAAATTAGTTAAGAATGTGGACTTAATCAGTTAAAGAGCTTTACAGATCCACAAATACATCCTGTAGCTATGAAAGAACAAGACCATTCTCGACCAAAAGGATTTTTGATTATGTAGCAATTAACTTTTCTCTTCCAGAGTATGGCTAATAACTGTAGATGATTGAGGACATAACTAAACAGAAATATATATTGTGCCAGAACCTTATTTCTACTTTTATGTGACTGTAGAATTCCAACTGAAACAATCTTCTCTGCTTTTTCCACTTTTAAGGCAAGAGATATTACAAAAAGTACTGTAACATAAAAAGAAAACCAACCCATCTGAAAAAGTATTTTTGTAACTAAGGTCTTCAGGTGGAAGTCGAGAAAGATTGGCACACAGAATGGCTTTTAAGTATTTTTCCTAAACATTAGTTAGTATTATGTCTACGAGCAGATTTAAGCAGTTGTTTGCGTCTGTGTTTTGTTTTTGGTTTAAAGCTACTGAAGAGGAGATTTATTTAAAATAATTGAGTTTAAGAGGTGAAAAACCTTTTCAAATGTATTACGCAATGTCATAAGTTTCATTTTAGGAGCACTTTTGCAATTCTGGCTCCTAGTCTTTCAAATTCCTTGGTCCAAATAATATCTGTTCTATCTCTTATTTTATATTTGAGCCTATTCATGTATTCATTACAAGCAACAACGTATGTCAAATCACCCAGTGTTGCTTAAAGTTTAGACAATCGTCTCTTGATGAGAAAGAGGTAAACAACCGATTGCATCAATGTATGATTCCAAGCGACCAAATCAGAAACGGGACAGCTTGCCATCCATCTCCTTGTGTGTGTCCACATTCGTAAAGCTTTAATAAATCAGTGGGGCAGTGTGGGAGCACAAGGGGGGCTCCGTCAGGATTGAGGATGCCTTACAAAGCAGTCTGTATGACATAAACAGGAGCCGAGGGGTGGAGGGGGCTAAAGAGGGTGGAGTGAAGGATGGAGGAATGGCTGAACACAAAGAAAGAGTGCAGAACAGAAAAGGATTGGCAGGATGGGGCTTGGGGTTTGAATGGTAAAACGTGAGGACTGGGAGATGGAGAGAAAACAACTGGGAGGTGAACCCAGCAGTGATGCAATTATTCAGCTCAGAGCGCAGAAGGAAAGTGAGAGGCACGGAAACAGATTGATTGCCAGGTTTTTGGTCAATAAAAAGAGGCTATGTGTCTCGTTCAACACTTTTCTAGCGATAGAAAAGACAAAAAAACATGTTGGACACCTTGTGCCTTGTGAGTGTCATTAAAGAATAATGTAAACAAACACCACCCCTTTTTTGATTATTAATTAAACCTATAGAAAACCAGTCTAACAATAAGTCAACATCAGCCAATTGGAGGTATGATAGAGGTTTGATGTGTGAAGATGCAAAGTGCATTAGCTTTTTGTATTTCTTATAAAGCAACTGGGATGTTTCAATCACTTATAAAGTCAAAAGCTTCCATTTTGAGATCTACAATTTTGGACTTGAGCTGCAGCAGTTTTTAATTTGGCTGACGTCCCAGTCACTGCCGTCCATCTTTTCGAGCAGAAGTGCACAAAAAAGGATATGCTGGTGTTCGAGGGAATGACTGGGCAGGATATCCAGTTTCCCGAGGAGTGGGAGAGCACGCACATTCTGTGTCACTGAGTCAGTGCACTCACAGGGAAGTCAGCGTTCGTCATAGCCCACCTCATCGGTCAGACAGAGGCCTGTTAAAATGCCTTTCGGCTTAAATCATGGCAGCAAACAGAAGCAGGCGTTTGCTTGGCATGTCTCACTGTAGTAGCCAGCCAAGCAGGCCAGCAGTGACGTGAGTCAGCCAGGACTTCTACAATGATTCCTCAAGGAAACCCAATTAATGTGTCTAAATTAAAACAATTGGTGGGAACTAAGTAATGTAAAGGAATAGCCTAACACTGTGAGAAGCAGATGTTCAATGCCGGCAAAAAATATCTGTGAAATGCTGAGCTTGGATCGGACATCCTTCATGTGATATACTACCTTAAATGTAACTCTATCACTGCAATGTCTGCCATCTCTTCATCATACCGTCAGATGAGCATCTGGTGACATTGACTAACCCTACCCACATGGGAAGCACATTAATTGGAAGTCACACAGTGATGTTTAGATGAAAACAAGCACAGATTTAATTTCTGTGAGTTCCCAGGAGTAAAGGTGTCGGTACTGCGTTTATAAAAAAATTCACACAGCCTTTAAAATATTAATACCTGAAAAGAATGCTCCTGAGAAAATCACTGAATCTTCACATTGAAGAACATTTGTGTTTATACAAAACAACTTATTCAATCAGCGTATTCAGCTCTCATTTGAACAACTTCCTAAACTAAGACATCCTATATTTGAGAGCAATATTGATTATGTGGTGTCTTGATTTAATGTAGCACAACATTAGGACAACTACTCCGCTTTTAAACGTTACGTCTACATTCAAGTTCTCGTGACTGCAGTGTGGGCCATCATTTAGGAATAAGATGAGATCACTTGAATATTCCTGTAATACTCTTACAATAAGTGCTTCTGTGATAGTCTTCTTTGTGTACCTATTATCAGCTTCATTTGTACTTCTGTGTAGCTAATGAGTGTGCTCTGTGCAGTAATGATAGAGGCCCAGAAAAAAAGGTGGCCACAAGCAACATTTTTCAGGGCCTTATTTATTGCTACTCCCATGCAAATATAGTAGAAAGAAATAAGGCCCATCCCAATTTCCAAAATGCCAAGGTGATGTCCTTAAATGTCTTTTTTTTAAGATGAGAAACCAAATACATTCAGTTTAATATGATATAACAAGACATTTCCATGTTTAGGGGAATTAAAACAGCATGTTAAGACAGCATTTAATATAACCCAAGCCCTTACCCTAACCTGTCAACTATGGCGATGATGATTGCATGTTAAAGTCTGAAACTTTTAAATATTTGAAAGAGAAAGTATCCACAGCACATACAACAACATGAACCTCAGTCTGGTTTTGGTACTCACTTTCTCCTATACTCGTCCCTCTCCCGCTTGACTTTGGCCAACACGTTATACAAAGCCCTCAGTTCTGGTGTAATGGTATCTATTTGGACCCCAACTCCGTCCGGGTGCGACCACGAGACCCCGGGCCGCCGCACGGTCTCATAGCGCTCCCCTTGCCTCCGGACATGCGTAAAACTCCAGATGGTGCCCGGTAACCGAGATTCGGGACCGTCCGTCTGCACTGCAACTTCCCGGGAGTAAAGGTGTCGGTACTGCGTTTTAAACAGAGCTTGCTGCAGTTGGCTCTCCAGCAGTTTGTTTCTTCTCTCAAGTTCGTGGACTTTGGCAAGGAAGCAGCGGAAACGTAGGTTGAGTGTTTTCAACACATGTATGTTGGAGCCCAGGTCATTTCGCAGGGCGCTGGTCACTGCGCCCGACCCGGCCGGAGGGTTGCACACCGGCCCAGGCGGAATGTCGGAGAAATACATCGAGTTCATGTTGACAAACAACTACACCCGGTAATCCAATTATGGCTCTGTCTGGTTTGTATACAACAACGACAAAATAAATTTTAGTTGTTATCTCTGCATAGCATATTCCTTCACAAGCCCACCCCCCAGGACGAGTTTCACCCTACAATGCAGATGCTGAGAGTGAGGTTGCTGGAGACGGGGTGACCATCACTGTCCCTGCTGGGTGTTTACCCCGAGATACTGACATGGACCCCTGCGTAAATAAGAAACCTAGAAATTCCCTTCAGAGGCACCGAGGGCATTATCTTCTGTAGGAGGTTTGACGCAGATCGAAATAAACACCAGCAGCACTTCCCGTCACCCTCATCTCTGTTTCAATTTGCTTTGTCAGTCGCTGCTGATGCTGAGCTGGTTCATATAGCCAGCGGAAGATGGTCCACCTTCTTCCTTTTGTCATTCGCCGTTAACTATGGCTCCAGTCTCCATGTGCTGCGATGGGCTGGCAGGACGTAGCACCGCAGAGCCCGGCCTCTTCGTGGTGTGCGCGGATCATGTTGCAAAGTGCTAAACTAGGCACTCTCAGCAGCATCAGCCCCTCCCACCTCCCTTCCTATCTTCTCTCGCGTCTGGCTTAGGGCGAGGATCCCAGACTGGCTCAAGGCATATTTTAAGAGACCAATTAATAGACTATGACAATGCATTTTAAATGAAAGTAGTTTAAAAGATATTATTCATTATGTGATATATTTCTACATGCAATGTGTATCTTAATGTCATATTTAAATAAGATAGGGTGTGCAACATAATGACGAGGAATTGATCAATGCATTTTAGGCTATTTTAGCAAATCTCGGCACTCATTATATTTTATTATTATATAGGCGACTGAACCACTTCCTCATTTAGAGTCATAGACATTTCCTACCAGGCATGTAATTCTAGTTATTCAAAGTGCTTTAGAAAACATATTTAAGGCAAAAGGACATAGTGCAACATAAACACATCATAAATAGAGCATTTGCTTCCACCTGTTGGCTGTTGTGAAAATGTGTAAAAAGAGTTTTACATTTTTGCGAGTTAATGTTTGTGTAATTTACTAAAGGTTGAATATGGCAGCTTGTTAGAGATTATATTGTCACTCTTTTATTTATTGTTGATTAACATTCTGAAAGGCAACCACATGATCTCATCCCACACATTATTACCCACCACATGTTTCCGCAATGTACATCAAGCTGTTCCCAGTCAGGCAAGTTGGAGTTATAAATATTTAAAAATAAAAGTTTTATTTTCAGTCAGGCACCATATGGTCAGCTGCTCCGCCAAACAGAAACATTTGGGGTCCTTTCTCATTTCACGTGTGCGTCTGCTACTCTGCATCGTGAGAAGGAACCATGCCGAAGTCAAAGAGGGACAAGAAAAGTGAGTAAATATCCTTTCAAATTGTGAAATGTATAACAAATTCATAAGATAACGATATCAACTGGTTATTTGTGTCTAGCAGCTGTCCTCGACGGTAGAAAAGTAACTTTAACGTTAGCTAAAATGCTAACTTTAGCTTCTCCACAAGGGGGAATAAGTGTTTGACGTACATTGGGATGCTGATTTGACACTTAAACTCATAGATAACTGACTGATATTAACATCGTCTTCCCCACAGTTTCGTTAACGAAAACAGCCAAGAAAGGACTGCAGACGAAACAGAAATTAATCGAGGAGGTGAGTTTTGCGTCAACCATGCTATGCTAACAAGCGGCAGACATGTTTAAATTACATTAGGCTTTACTGGCATGGCATTTGATATGTTTTCAAAGCAAAAGTACGATTTTAAAAGAAATTAACGCATTCATCATTAACAAATGAAGTGAATAACAATGCTAGTTACTTTTAATTAAAAACATTATTCAGGCTTTTAGTACAATAATCAAGTTAGTATTGGTACACGTTTCTGTGACCTCATCATGTCAATAACATAACACTTTGTTAGTAGGGATAATAAAAGATATTGGAGCAACAATAAGTATTGATTAAATGTCTTTATTTTCTTTGTATTATGTCACATCAAACTGAATATCTGTTTCGGCTTTATTTTCTGACATGATAATCAGAATAGTAATTTAAAGCAGAAAATCATCGACAGATTAATCAATATTAAAAATAATTGTTGCATAACGGATATTATAGTCTATATATAACACTTATGTATACTCAGTATTATAAAGGATGTTAATTGTAGGGATAAGACGAAGTAACACTTCATTCTCCACCTGTTTGACCTTTTTAGTTACGGAAATGTGTGGACACGTACAGAAACTTGTTCATATTCTCTGTGGCTAATATGAGGAATAACAAACTGAAAGACATCAGGACAGCATGGAAACACAGCAGGTAATAAGCCTGGTGATTTATTTATTTTTTCCATATGAATTAAGCTTGTGTTGTAGGCAAGATGTTTGACTCCGCTCTTTTACAGATTCTTCTTCGGCAAAAATAAAGTCATGTCGGTTGCCTTGGGTAAAGGAGAAACAGATGAATACAAAGATAATTTGCACAAGGTAAGAGATCTCTAAGGTGGGCAGTTAATCCAGAAAATTGAAAAATATACTGCATAGAGATGACATTTGTATTATCGCTGTCAATGTGCAGGTCACCAAGTATCTGCGAGGAGAAGTAGGAGTACTATTCACTAACAAAACAAAGGAAGAGGTACAAGAGTAAGTACAGCTTTACTTAATGCAATGTTGTTGCAGTGATTTTCCAAAATATTGCTCATTACTTGACAAAATGGTATTCTACATCAACAGGTACTTCAATCATTTCAAAGAGATGGATTATGCACGAGCAGGCAACCGTGCACTGATGGACACGACACTGGACGAGGGACCCCTTGATCAGTTTCCTCACTCAATGGAGCCCCAGTTGAGGCAATTAGGACTTCCCACTGCTCTCAAGAAAGGTCATTATCTGGCGTTATTTACTTTTCCTTTTGACAAAAAATATTTTTCAAAGACCAAAACCAACAATGTAATGGTCACTTTCTCAATACTATTTGTCTTCAACACTCCGCCCAAAGGTGCTTAACAACTCAGATGCATACATGCAACACATTTAAACAGCAGGAGATTTTAATTATAGGCCTAATTAAATAGTTTTTCAACTGTTCAAAACAATTCACCTCTGGAAATCTCCCCGAAACATGTTTGATTTACTGAAGTCAGTGAATGACTGTTTTGGCTTATTGAAAACAATAAATCCAGAGCACAGAAGGATGTGCTTTATCGGGCATTTGCAACACAGTCACTACTTTTATAGAAGGGATCAGATATCTTTTGAGGGCACCAGGTGATTCTCCCCCTCTTAATTGAGTAATTTCTTCAAATCGGTTGAGTCATGATAGTCACATTATTTATCTGTTTTTAAAGGCGTGGTGACCCTCCTGAAGGACCATGAAGTCTGTAAGGATGGAGATGTGCTCACTCCTGAGCAGGCTCGTATTCTGGTGAGTTCTTGACTGTTGACTACAGAAAATATTGTCCGTGTCGTAACGTGTACCATTACCATATTCTGGCCAATAAACTGCCCTGTGTTTAACTGACTGTGGCTCTTTTTCTGACCATAGAAACTCTTCAACATTGAGATGGCAGAATTCAAGGTGCAGATCAAATGTATGTGGAACTCAGAAACAGGCGAGTTTGAAAACGTTGCAGGTGGGGAAGAGCCTATGGATAATGGAGAGGAAGATGATGAAGATGCAGAATAAATCATCTGCAAGAGAAGCGTGTACACTTGCCTTTAACAGCAGAGGGACATTGATCTAAAAACCATTCAGCCTGACTGCTAGTGCTCCCCGGAAGTCTGTGATCTCTGTCCTTTGTCTTTTTTTACCCCAAAACAAAACTACTGTCCTATATTCACCAGTTCAGCTTCGGGCTGAGTTGTTGTTCAGTAAAAACAGATTACCAGAGTTAAAGACATCATGATCTACCATATGTTATCATGTTGATGTTTCTTGTATTTTGTCAAATCAAATAAGCACATGTCATTGTGCTGAACCAACCAACTTCATGTATTTTATCTGTAGAAAAATACAAAAACATTTTGTTGTGAACAAAACATTGTTTTCATTTTATTGTAACAGTTTAATTAAGGCAGACTTCAGAAAATGTTTTTTTTTTTTTTCCTGAAAGAATATTTTTGTTTTTACATTTGTACATTAACAATGAAGTGCTCTAAACATAATGCATTCTGGTCTCCATTTGATTCATTTCTAAGAGAAGGCTCATTTCAAGAACAAGTGCAAGGTCTTCACTAGTGGAAAGGAGCTTTAGCTGGGTTTTTTTTCTCTTTAAATTTGAGGGCAAAAAAAAATTTTGACTAGGCAGATATGTCTCTTTAGCGGAAGTAGCTTGGACACTCGTGGGCTACGAGATTCCAGGCGTCATTAAAAGCATTGACCACTCTCTCATCCAGAGGACCCTCCTCTGCAGCTGCCAAGTTTTGCTGAAGTTGATCCATACTTGACATACCAATGATGACTCCATCACCAAGATCCCCCTGGAACAGCAGACAATTACATTTTTTAATTGAAAAGGTGTTATATGGTATAACAATCTCAAACTCCTGTGAGCACAAAAACAGCCTTCAGACTCTAGTGTTGAGATGGGTATACATTTTACCTAATAAATACGTGCACAATAGGTACCTTAAGTTGGGAGTGATGGTACATCCAGCGCATAGCAGCAGATGTCATGGTGGGTTTCTCTGAGCCGTAAACTGTCTCCAAGGCCTCAATAACAACCTTTATTGCGTCAAACTGACTCGGCTTCCAGTATCTGACACAAGAGGACAGACACAATTATTTGATCAATTGTAAATGTACATGACAGCAAAAATGAAGAAAACAACCAAAACATGAAACTACTTAAAACAAGTTTCTTATTGGAAAAACCTCAAAAGTAAACAAGGAGTCATTTACCTGTCCCTATATGCTGCAGCCCAGTTGTTACCAAAGAACCGCCCTTCAGGCTGGGAACCCTCTTTGTCTTGGTAATGGTACTTTCCTGTCAGCAGGCCACCTGCAGAGGGGGTATAAAGTCAGAGTTCAAAACATAATGATCTCAATCTTCTAAATGTTGTCCTTCACACCAAACAAAAGTGTTTGAAGCTACATTTTGAGAAACTGTTACAGTAAAGATAAAAAAACAACCATGGTAAGGCTGGCCATAGTCACAGTGGGGCTTTGTGTTACATTAAAAGATAACATGCAGGTGATTACCATATTTATCATTACAGCAGTGTGTTGGTATACTAAAATGTGCTAATTAGCACGATAGATAGAGCCTATAGCTGCTCTGACATTTCACTCAAAATCACCAATGACACCCTCATGGTGGCGCTAGTCAAAATAAGATATAATCAAAAAACATTAGGTCATTTCGGCACTATATACAGTAAATGTCTGTTTGTTTTTGTATCAATTAAAATGGTAGATGCTAAGATATTTTACAAGTGTTGACCTGCAGTTGGTGCTAGAGGAAAAGTCAGAGGCTATCTATCCAACAG